AGGGCATGGCAACCCACTCTTTCCTGGAGAATCCTCATGGAGAGAGGAGCCTGGCATTAAATTTACATGGGTGCATTTGTTATTTGTAGACGTATCTATTCATCTTTGCTTGCACTGGGTCTTCATTGCGGTGTACAGGCTTTCTCTAGTTGTGACGAGTGGGGGCTACTCCTTCTTGAGACGCTCGGGCTTGTTATTGCAGTAGCTTCTCTTGTGGTGCACACCCTCAGTTGCTTTGAGGCATGTGGAATTTCCCTGGACCAGGGATCGAACCTGAGTCTCCTGCATTGGCAGGTGGTTTCTCATCCACTGTACCACCAGGAAAGTCCTATTTGTAGACTTTTAAATAATGGCCATTCTGACTGGTTTGAGGTGGTACTCCATTATAATTTGATTTGAATTTCTCTAATAATTTAGCTAAGTATTTTTGAATATTGAAAATCTAAAGTAGTATTTCACATAACATGAAAATGTATGAAATTCAAACTTCAGTGTCAATAAAATTTTACATGGTAGGAATGTGATCACTGCTTGCAGTATTCACACCAGAGCCTTTGCTTTCAAACAGTGAATCTGTAATCTGTCATTCCCTCTAAATCCCCATACCACTGGTACCTTAACCACTCACCATCAGCTACCACTTGTTCATTTACACTGTCTTTTGTGCTGCAACAGCAGAGTTGAATAGTGCAAGAAACTCCACAAATGTCAAAGTCTAAAATATTGACTATCTGGCTCTCGAATAATAGGTCCTGATATAGACGCCAATGTAGTGTTTTTCAGACTTAAGGTGCATCAGAATCATCTGGTGGACTTGTTAAAACACGTACTGCTTAATCCCATCCGGAGTTTCTGATTCACTGGGTCTAGAGTAGGATCCAAGATTTTGCATTTTGAACAAGTTCCCAGGTGATGCCAGTCCAGGAGATTTGGTCTTGTTGTTCAAGACTCTTTGTGTGTTCAAGACTCAGTTGTGTCAGACTCTTTGCAACTCCATGGACTGCAGCAGGCCAGGCTTCCCTGTCCTTCACTATCTCTCTGTTTGCTTGAATTCACGTCCATTGAGTCAATGATGCCATCCAACCATCTCATCCTCTGTCACCCCCTTCTCCTCCTGCCCCCCATCTTTCCCAGCATCAGGGTTGTTTCCAATGAGTCAGTTCTTCCAATCAGGTGGCCAGTGTATTGGAGCTTCAGCATCAGTCCTTCCAATGAATATTTAGGGTTGATTTCCTTTAGGATTAACTGGTTTGATCTCCTTGCTGTCCAAGGAACTCAAGAATCTTCTCCAGCACCAGATTTCAAAAGCATCAATTCTTTGGTGCTCAGCCTTCTTTATGGTCCACCTCTCACATCCGTGTATGATTACTGGAAAAACCATATGGACCGTGGTCAGCAAAGTGATGTCTCTTTAATATGGTGTCTAGGTTTGTCATAGCTCTCCTTCCAAGGAGCAAATGTCTTTTAATGTCATGGCTGCAGTCACCATCTGCAGTGATTTTGGAGCCCAAGAAAATAAAATCTGGCACTGCTTTCATTTTTTCCCCTCCTATTTGTCATGAAGTGATGGGACCAGACACGATAATCTTAGTTTTTTTTTTTAATATTGAGTTTTAAGCCAGCTTTTTCACTCTCCTCTTTCACCTTCATCATGAGGCTCTTTAGTTCCTCTTCACTTTCTGGCATTAGCGTGGTATCATCTGCATATCTGAGGTTATTGATATTTCTCCTGGCAATCTTGATTTCAGCTTGTGTTTCATCCAACTTGGCATTTCACATGATGTACTCTACATATAAGTTAAATAAGCAGGGTGACAACATACAGCCTTGATGTACTCCTTTCCCAATTTTGAACCAGTCTGTTGTACCATGTCCAGTTCTAACTGTTGCTTCTTGACTGGCATACAGGTTTCTCAGGAAACAGGTAAGGTGGTCTGGTATTCCCATTTCTTGAAGAATTTTCCAGTTTGTTGTGATCCACATGGTCAAAGACTTTAGCGTAGTCAGCGAAACAGAAGTAAATGTTTTTCTGGAATTCCCTTGCTTTCTCTTTGATTCAGTGAATGTTGGCAATTTGATCTCTGGTTCTTCTGCCTTTTCTAAACCCAACTTATACATCTGGAAGTTCTTGGTTCACATACTGCCAAAGTCTAGCTTGAAGGATTTTGAGCATAACCTTACTAGCATGTGAAATGAGTACAGTTGTACAGTAATGTGAACATTCTTTGGAACTGCCCTTCTTTGGAATTGGAATGAAAACTGACCTTTTCCAGTCCAGTGGTCACTGCTGAGTTTTCCAAATTTGCTGACATATTGAATGCAGCACTTTAAGAACATCTGGCTGTTTAATTTAGATTTAATTTTATTCCAGATGAAGTTGAGAAGGCTTTTGTAATGTACACAGTACTTTAAAAAATCAAAGAGAAAAATAGTAGATGCAAAAATTAGTTGAGATTCTTATTGGAATTTTGTCAAAAATACTGAATCTACCTATGAAAGGATTTATCTCCCTTTCTCTGAAGTAATTTTAATGTCACAAATGAAAGAATATATATGCGTGCTATGTCTCTTCAGTCGCCTCCCACTCTTTGTGACCCTGTGGATTGTAGACCGCCAGGTTCTTCTGTCCGTGGGATTCTTCAGGTGAGAATACTGGAGTGGGTTGCCAGGCTCTTCTCTAAGATGATTTATACATAGAGGAAGACTGTTTTCTTTTGGATTGTGTCCACTTAATTTATCTACAATTTTTATTTATTACTTTCATGATTTTAACTTGCTTTCTTGTCTGCCACCCCCAATCTCCGCCAGCTTTCCCTGATAATATAACTCTTTTATTAATGGGATCTATTTCTTAGTGTTTATTTATTTCATTTGACTGTGCTGGGTCGCCAGATCCTCGATCTTCCTTTTGGCAGCTGTATCTTTAGTTGTGGCATGTAAACTCAGTTAGTGGCATGTGGGATCCAGCTCCCTGACCAGGGATTGAACCAGGTTCCCTGTGTTGGAAGTGTGTAATCTTAACCACTGAACCACCAAGTAAGTCCCCATTTCCCAGTATTTAAAAAAAAAAAAAGTGAAATTGACGTACAGTTTTCCTTTACTTGACTGTATGTAAATCTGCTTTCTTGGCTGCACACAGAACTCGGCTGTAATCCATAACTTTGGGAAAAGTCCCTGACCGGCTCTAGCTGCTTAAATTACCTCAGGTCCAAATCTTCCACTGCCAGGTGTGCTGGACTCTCAGCTAATCCCAGCCCGCTAGTCGGCGAGACTAAAGGGAAACCTAGTTCTGGTGGTCAGTAGACTGGCCCTGAGTGTGGGCCATCTGCGCATGCCTAGTTCCACCTTTTCCCTCTATGCATTTCCGCCTCTGCTTCTGTCTTTCTCCAGCCGTGCCTGGGAAGCGGTTCCGGGGCTGCTGAATCTATGCACTCTTCTGGGGCCAGTGCGCCTCGGAGGCGGAGAGGGGAGTGAGCTCGGGATGGCTGGTTGAGGACTGTGTAGTCAGGTCAGTACCCGTGGTGGGGAGGAGCTCCGTAGGCCCCTGGGACAGCGAGAAGGGGGCGTCTCCATTGAGAAGAGTGGGTCGAAGTCCTAGACAGACTAGCCCCAGCCCTGAGTTGGCGCCGCTGTGCGAGAGGCCGTTTCTAAGGGCTCAGGAGGAGGGGCTTAATATACAGACAAGATGCGGCGGCGAGCGGGCGGCCCGGAGCGGGGGCGGGGCTGCTGGGAGGAAGCTTGCTGGGGAGGGCCGAGTGGTGCAGGGCGTGTGGTCTTGGAAGAACAGCCACCAGTCAGGGCTGATCAGTTAGCTTTGTACACAGACTCCGTTTCTTTGGTTCTCCATTTATCCTTTTTGGCTTTCAAACTGCTCTCCAGTCATGTCCATTACTTCTTGTTTGTGTATGTTGTTTCTCTCTTCTTCTTCCCTTAGCATTCAGGAAAGATAGTCAAGAATTATCTGGTTTTTTGTCTCTTTGGATAGAATTTCTTTCTCTTTGTTTCTGAAGATTCGTGCCTTATTCACATCAGTTAGTGGCGAAGACTAAAAGATCTGACTCATCAGCCGGTACTGTTTACACTTTTCCATACAACTAAAAGCAAGTGTTTTATAGAAGAGTCTTCTGTGAAATGGCAACAACGATACAACATGGGTCTTTCCTTAAAGCACTGCTTTTATAGCTTTCTGTGGAGTCACTATGCAAAGGTTTAGTAACATTAGTCTGGAAGTTAAACAGCCTAGTCCTGAGTTTCTTTTTCTTTCTTCTTTAGTCCTAAGTATTCTTTTTTTAACAACAGTTTTGGTGTAATTAATATTCCTTCATTGTGTGTATTTTTATTTGTTTTAATCAATTTTATAATTTAAAAAATTTTGCGAACACCAAGGGAGATTTAAACTGTTCTAAAATATCCATAGGCAGTAAATACTTAACTCTGAAAAAATTTATACCCAAGAGCTACATGGTAATATTAGAGTTGTATTAGGTAGGTGGTCATCAACAATATATACCCCTGTCTTTGAAGGTCAAAGGGACATTAACATTTTTTTCCTTATCTAGTGGTGTGTTTAGCTTTATAGGAAAGGAGAATTCAGGAGCTGCCACACAGGCCGGATCTTTCATGACTCCCGTCCTCTTCTAACCCAGTGTATCTTCAGAGTTGTCTACATTTTTCCAAGAACAGCTGAAAATGAATAAATCCCAGGTGAGTTTGTTCATTCCTTTGTTTAACTGTGGACTTTGTGAGATTTTAAGAGTCCATACGTTAAGATGGAAATCAGTAATAGATAAAAAATGAACTTCATAGAAAATAGCAAATCAAGAGCAGAACCAAGTTGGCTTGTATATACTGATCATTTATATAACACAGTTTCTAAGTTAGCCTGCAAATAGGTTTCTGATGTTTCTGATAACCATGGCAGAAAGGGAGACACTGTATTTTGGATACAAAAAGATTCCTTTGTAGATGCAACAGAGTCTTACTGGAAGATACTCTTTTTGCTCTTAACCTAGGGACACGTAGTAAGTAATTTCCAGGGACAGCCCTGAAATGAATGCCTCAGACCATTCCTTACTGAGGGTAAAAGGGTTGAAGAGATGGTTCAAATAATGAGTTTTATGATAGTCTTACTTATTTTTGTATGTTTAGAGGAATAAATGGCCTGCATGCCTGTTACAAAGCTATTTTATCTTAGCCAAGCTGTGCGTAGAAGTCCTGAAACAGATGGTTCCAAGTTAAATTCTCTGGTAAATGTTTCTGAGTCCCTCAGTCAGCTTTCATTCCGCAGCATTCTGTCTTGGTTTTCTCCACTTTAGAGTCTGTTCAGGTAAACTCACCGGTGACTTAATTGTAGCGGTCTTCCTTGGATAGCGCTGCAGAGCTGACTGCTCTCTCCTGAAGTTCTCCTGTGTTCACTTCCGAAACTGCTCTTCTGAGAGCTTTTTCTTGGGGTACTCCTCATTGTGCCCCAGTGTTCAGTTCTGGGCTTAGTTCCAGCTTCTGTCAGACTTCTCATTTTACCCCCACATTGGAAAAATATGTAGATAGTTGGACAATACTCTATATTGTTTGGGGTGCTTTTTAAAAATATGTAAACTATTTTAATGTATCTGTGATACAGTTTTCTGGTTCACTAATAATTTGAAATCTATTGATATGTAGTTTTATTCCTTTTAATGCCATATTTTTCCATTCTCAATATTCTATTGGTAGATATTTAGGTACCTACCTAAATTTAGGTAGTTTCGATTTTTTAGTAATATAAACTGTGCTACTATGAATATCCTTGTCACTCTCTGCACAAATACAGATGTGTCTCAGACTCTAGAGCAGTGCTTCTCAAAGTGAGTTTCTTTGGCTGGAAGCAGCAGCATCACCTGGAAACTTGTGTGAAATTGCAGATGCTTATACCCTATCTCAAACTGCTGGCAAAGAAATGGAGGGGTAGGCTCAGTAGTCTGTTTTAACAGGGTATTCATGTGATGCAGATAGTTGCTAAGTTTAAGAATCACTGCTCTAGGGTTCTGTGATTAATAGGTTTGAGTTATAAGATATGAAAATCAAGATTATTTTCCCTCCCATCTTTCCAGATATAAAAATTACTTCCTCTGTAATAGGTGAAAAACTTTAATTTTGTGATTGATGATTGTGGTTGTGCAGCTTTCATAAGTGTATGGCTTTTCAGGTTTTGCACTGAGTTTTGTATGCATTCCCTATGTATTTTAAATGGTAATCTTTTGTTATAACTGTTACTAATTATCTTTTCTCAGTATGCTTTTTGTCTTTTCATTTAATAGTATATTTTCTGAAACTTTTATATTGTAATACAATCCTTTTGTGCTTTCTGTTTTTTATTCTTGTTTTCCTTACCCCAGGGGCCTAATGAAATTTTTTATTTTGTCTAGAAATGCGAAGCATGTTTTTTTAAAAAAAGTATTTAGTACCTTAAGCCATCTGGAATTAAAAAAAAAATATATATATAATGTGATTAAAGGACCTAATTTTATGTTACCCATCTGTAAAAAATAAAGAGCACAATAAAAGGATAACATTTCCTGACCAAGCACTAGCAAAACAGATCTGAGTAGGAGTACCTGCCACATGTCTTCATTATGAAAGCTGCTGGCTTAGACTGGGTAGATTTTGTCATGTTCACAAAGTATCTATTGAGAGGCATACAGGTTTTATTTACATTCCCACCAACAGTGCAAGAGGATTTCCTTTTCTCCACCCCCCTTCCAGCATTTATGGTTTGTAGGTTTTTTGATGATGGCCATTCTGACCGACCGGTGTGAGGTGATACTTCATTGTAGTTTTGATTTGCACTTTTCTATTAGTGATGTTGAGCATCTTTTCATGTGCCTCTTAGCCATCTGTCTTCTTTAGAGAAATGTCCGTTTAGATCTTCTGCCGAGTTTTTGATCAGGTTTGTTTTTTGATATTGGAGAATGCTTAAGGTCCACTCTCAGCAAGTTTCTGCTGTACAGTACTGTATAGTTAAGAATAGTCAACACACTGTACATTAGATCCTCCTCAGTTATTCTTTTTTATCTTTTTTTATTGGAGTATAATTGCACTACAGTTCATTTACCATGAAATGAACCAGTTATGTATATATATATCCCCTCCCTCTTAAACTTCCTTCCCACCCCACTCTCATCCCACCCATCTAGGTCATCACAGAGCACTGAGCTGAGCTTCCTGTGCTTTATAGCAGATTTACACCAGCTGTCTGTTTTACACATGGTAGTGTACATATATGTCAATCCTAATCTCCCAATTCATCCCACCCTCCCCTTCCTCCCATGTCCACATGTCCGTTCCCTACATCTGCTTCTCTATTTTTGCACTGGAAATAGGTTCATCTGTACCATTTTTCAATGGCAGCCCACTCCAGTACTCTTGCCTGGAAAATCCTGTGGACGGAGGAGCCTGGTAGGCTGCAGTCCATGGGGTTGCTAAGAGTCGGATACGACTGAGCAACTTCACTTTCACTTTTCACTTTCATGCATTGGAGAAGGAAATGGCAACCCACTCCAGTGTTCTTGACTGGAGAATCCCAGGGACAGGGGAGCTTGGTGGCTGCCATCTATGGGGTTGCACAGAGTCAGACACGACTGAAGTGACTTAGCAGCAGCAGCAGCAGTACCATTTTTCTAGATTCCATACATATGTGTTAATATATGATGTTTATTTTTCTCTTTCTGACTGACTTCACTCTGCATGATAAACTCTAGGTCTATCCACATTTCTACAAATGACCCAGTTTCATTCCTTTCTATCACTGAGCAAAATTACTCTTATAATAACTGAACATTTATACCTTTTGATTTACATCATTCTATTTCCCCTTTCTCCTAGCCCTTGGCAACCCCCATTTCATTCTTTCTGTGAAATTGGCTTTTATTGGTGGTGGTGGTGGTGTTTTTAGATTCCACGTGTAAGTGATACCAATAGTATACCTTTCGTTGTCTGACTTATTTCACTTAGCATAATACTCTCAAGGTCCATTTACATTTTTCCAATGTCAGGATTTCCTTCTTTTTATAGCCAAATAGTATTCCATTGTATACATCCATTACATTTTCTTTATTCATTCTTATTGAACATTCATTCATTCTTCAATGTTTCTATCCCTTGGCTATTGCAAGTAATGCTACAATGAACACGAGGGTACAGATATCTCTTTCGGATAGTGGTTTTGTTTCTTTGGGGTTTATACCCAAGAGTGGAATTGCTGGATCATAAAATAGTTCTATTTTAAATTTTTTCAGGAGCCTCCATAGTGTTTCCATAATTGCTATACCAGTTTGCATTCCCACTAACAGTGCACAAGGCTTCCCTTTTCTCTGAATCCTTGACAGCATTTGTTATCTCCTGTCTTTTTGATAATAGCCATTTTAACAAGTGTGAGATGATACCTCATTGTGATTTTGTTTACATTTGGTTAGTGATTTTGAGCACCTTTGGCCATTTGTATGTCTTTGGAAAAATGTTTATTAACGTTCTTTGACCACTTTTAAATTGGATTATTTGCTTTCTTGCTTTTGAATTATATGAGTTCTTTATGTATTTTGTATATTATCAGAGACATGTCTTGGGAATATTTTCCTGTAGGTTGCCTTTTCAGTTTTCTTGATTGTTTCCTTGGCGGTGCAGAAGCTCTAACGTTTTTGTTTGTTTTGGCCACACCACGTGGCATTGTGGGATCCTAGTTCCCAGACCAGGGGATTGAACCTGTGTCTCTTACAGTGGTAGCTTAGAGTCTTAACCCCTGGACCACCAGGGAAGCTCTTACATTTGATGTAGCCCTGTTTGTTTATTTTAGCTTTCTTTGCTTATGCTTTTGGTATCTTACCCAAGAATCATTGCCAGGAATAATGTCAAGGAGCTCCTTCCCTGTGTTTTCTTCTAGGGTCTTTTGTTTAAGTCTTTGATCTATTTCAAGTTAATTGTTCTGAGTGATGTAAGATCAGGGTCCAGTTTTATCCTTTCGCAGGTAGATATTCAGTTTCCTTAACACCAGTTACTAAAGAGATTATCCTTTTCATGTTGTGTGTTATTGGCACCCCCTCAAAAATCAATTAACTGTGTTAAGTGTGGTGTGGGTTTATGTTTAGGCTCTCTTTTCCACTTTACTGCAACTATTTTTATCACACATGAGTTTCCCTTTCACTGTAATTAGTATTCACTTAATGTAACTGAACTGATTCTTAATTCATCCATTCAGCAACCATTTATGAATATTTATTATGTGTCCTAGAATAAGATATAGTTTTTATAAGTAGCAATTCTTAGAATTATGTCAGGCATTTAGTTTTTATATTATTGCAAGTCTTATGATAGAGACTTGTATCCCTATCAAGGTGGGCTTCCCAGTAGGTCAAATGGTAATGAATCTGCCTGCAATGCAGGAGACCTCGGTTCGATCCCTGAGTTGGGAAGACCCCCTGGAGAAGGGCATGGCAACCCACTCCAGTATTCTTGCCTGGAGAATTCCATGGACAGAGGGGCCTGGCAAGCTACAGTCCATGAAGTCACAAAGAGTCAGACACAACTGAGTGACTAACACTTTCACTATGATAGAGATATAAACAAAATCCTGTTTTGTTTTCCTTAGGATTTTTTTTTTCTAGTCAAAAATTAAGAGGTGGACCTTTTAAGCTTAAGATTACTGTTTTTTATGTTGGGTGATTTAATCTATC